TGAGAGTCATTTCTAACTCTGCTCTAAAGATGGTGATATAAGTTTATCCATTTTATTGATACGAAAATAATCTTACAAATTAATTATTGATTAGTAAAATACAGTACCATACTAAGCGCATGGTTGGAGAAATATGGACCTAGATGCTATGATTATTTGGTTTTGACTCGTCGATCATAAGCTGAACGTAGTGCTATAACAACAGTGACTCTTACTTAAGATATCCTAAAAATATGCCGAATTTCTTAGAAACGAACCAATTCGACTTAGGGTCCTTCAAGAAAAGAGCGTACCAATTCTTAAAAGGCGCTCGCGAGCCCTCTGGCATTGAGAGTGTCCATGGGCGGCGGTATCACTTAACATCAGGTGAGCCTCCTGCCCGTTTGCCCCTCGTTCTATAAAAAAAAAAAACAAACAAACACCGACCACAAACATAAACAACGCTGCCCAAGCACTTTCTTCGCCCAACGCTTTTCCTCCTTCATCTTAATCACTTTGTTAGAAACAAAATTTTCACTAACGATTTAAAACTTTATACATTCACTAATAATCTAAAATAACATCTTCTCAACCTGTCCTATGCTAAAACGTTATAACGTTAGTTGAATTATAAGATTGTATGTTACGGAGAAATTACTGTGAAGTACCGTTAATATGTCAAATGGAAGAAACTAGCTACCCACGACACAGGGAAGGAACTAAACACCCCATCCACATAATATGTGCACTAAACTTTTTTCTATATTTTCTTTTCGAAACATAAATATACAGGGCTGAATTTGACGAAAGCATTACTGAAATCTAATACGAAACAAATTATAAATAAACATATGATTCAAATTTCTCTCAGTCAACATTCAATCACTAAGATACTTAACAAAGGAAAATAAAATACACTTTAAGAAATGTTTGTGTATGTTATTAGAGAAAATCCGCTTTTAACGAGTCAAGCTATTTTGTGGTTAAGGTTCATTATTGAAGGTCTAATAACCTTTTGATGTTAAAAGCCTCCAAAATATCCTCTCTTTTTTAATAGGCTTTTGTATTTCATTTTTAATAGCATATGTGTAGTCAATATACCTTTGATTTCTTAGGGTATGTGAGCGAGTGATTTATCCTTAAATATTGTTTGTGTATGAACGCGATAAACTTAATAACAATGGAACAGATTTTTGTAAGGTGTGTGTTTTACTAAAATAGTGTAATTCCTAAAGATAATTTTGGTGTTTCATTTAAAATGGTTTTAACAAGACTGAAACATGACGACTTTTGTTGAAGAGGTTAATAATTGTCGAACCTCGCGGACGAAGCTGCAAGCGAAGGCTAATTATTAATTTCAACGCTTTTCTAGTAATTATCTCGAGTACAAGCATTAAATTACTTTTTGTTAAGTAAACAGACAAAAATGGGACACCCGCTGTGGTTTAAGGTGTTAATATCACCCGGACGCGTTCTTAAACAATTTGTAAACTTAGGGTAACTTTCAGGGTCGTATATTAAGTATAACTTTAGTATGTCAAATCCAATACGAATATAGTGAGGATATATATCTTGGAGCAGTGTTGGTCTATTGCCACAAGGGTGCAACTCTCATCCCTGAGTTCGTAGGTTCAATTCCTGAATGCACCAAAGGACATTCTTTCTATGTGCGCATTTAACATTCTCTCGAACGGTGAAGGAAAACATCGTGAGAAAACCGGCTTGGCTTAGACCCAAAAAGCCGACGGCGTATGTCAGGCATAGGAGCCTAATCACCTATTACATTTACAAATGATCATGAACAGAAAACTGAGGCCCGACCTAAAACATTTATATTATTTTTCTAAACTTTATCAAATAAGAAATACCAATTTGACTCGGCAGTTAAATGTTAAGTTCTAGAAAGCTCCGCTAATTAAAAACCAATAAACATTGTTTACAAAACCACAGACTAAACGCGGTTACAACCACAGACAAAACTTACAAAATCAAGACGTTTTATTCGAACATTAATTTGTACAGTTTTTATTTGAAATCGCTTTGTTTACATTAGCAATTGCTATTTAGAATTTCGTATATGGCGCCGAAAATATCGTTTTATCTGTGAAACATGTGGTTATAATGGCTCTAATAAATAGTTAAAAGTAAAGCGATTCTCAACCCTGAAGTGGCATTCGAATCACGGCAGCGAATCAAATGACTTTTCTTTATACGCATTAAACACCCGCTCAAACGTTGGCATGCTAAAGTCAAAGTCAAATTTATTAAAAAGGCACTTTTGAAAGTAAAATTACATGTTAAAAATTAAAAAAAAATTAATCATATGGCAAAAAATGGGCAAGAAAATCCATACTTACTCTTTAAAAATTTGTTTATACATTGTTTTGTATATTGATTTGATAATTATAGATCAATAACTTGCCTGATAAGAACAAAATGGTCAATATACATAGAAATCTAAGAGACTTTTTAGTAGCGCCATTTGTGAATAAAATAATTAATCGAAAAACGGACCATAGTGAAGCGAAACGCGTCATTGATTTGACATTTATATTGTTCATTTGTTTCTAAACTGCGACGCAATCACAGACACAGCTCTTTTCTTACTTAATAGTTAATGTTAGATTTTTTTCGTGCATTTCATATGTTATTTTCGCTAAGTGTTAGGAATACTGGCTTCAGGGGTTTTTAGTTTTTGAGACGGAACTTTTGTGTTAAGCACATCTGCAGGGCTTAGGGATCCGTTGGGTTGTAAGGTTATTAGGCCTCGCCCTCTCATATATTTAGTTATCTAGTGTAGCTTATACGTACACCATACAATTATACATATACTCCTGAGACCACACTTATTACATATATTCTTTTGTATTGCATCGCAATTCATGAATCCGTGAGATTAGCTTTTTAGTTTTTAGTTTATTTTATTATTTTAGATTATGGTTGGTGATTGTATAATTTATAAGATTTGGTATTCATTTCCTGCACTTTACATTTCCTTGCTAGGGTTACCTGGAAGAGATCGCTCGTTAGCGATAAGGCCGCCTGTTGCATGCCTTGTAATTTGTATGTTTGTATTATTTATTTTTCTACAAATGTAGCGAAGTGTAAATTAATAAATAAATATACATATATAACTCATAGTCTGGATGGCAAGCTACAAGTTGTATAGCAGAATTTGCAACATTAAAGTCTAGCTTTTTGTTTATATATTTATTTTAACTACCTATCATTACCGTCTACCATTACAGCATGAACACTAATTCGATAGAAAATAATAAAAAAATTACCTAAACGAACATAATATATTAGCACAACATTATTAGATTTGCGAAATGCATACGTCAGTTTTGCATCTCCGAGCAAGTTATGAGCACCCGGTAATAGTTGCCGTTTAACAGGCCTATTGTGGGACCTCGCAGCCCCAACCTCTCTAACGCACCTGCTACTAAAATCTTCTATCTACATAGCAATAAATATTGGTACTCTGTAAATATCTTCCCTGGATTCAGGATTTTTTTTATTGAACGCAAAAAACACAATTATTATTATGGACAAATTTGCAGGAGCCTCGCCTGATGTTAAGTGATACCTCCGCCCATGGACACTCTTAAGGGCTCGCGAGTGCGTTGCCAGCCTTTAAAAGAATCTCAGTATGTTTAAGGTCTGACCTTAAATACCCATAGATCTTATCAGTAATTCAATAATACTTTGTACGTTCGAATTCACCTAACGCGGGTTTGTTAACAAAAAAAACATTTGGAGAAAACATGATTTTTCAATAAGTACTTTCGTTCATGAGATTAGCGCTTTCCACCCAAAAAACTTTTCAACTTCATATACGTAGTAAATTTCTGGATACTTTAACTTATATAAGTTAAAGTTAGGTTTCAATAAAAGCTCTTCGTATATTATGTATTATTAGTTCTCCTTTATGTAACAAAATGGAGTGCTGAACGGAACAAGTTTTTTGTGTTGCATAATTAGGCAGCCTTTAAAAGGTTTGTAATTAACGAACACTTTTCACTCTGTTAAATTTTCTGCAAAATTTTCTTTAGCGAGCTTTAAAAAATAAGTTTTGTATTGAGAAAGACAAAGAACAAAGTCTATGCAACATCGTACCTAATTGATATCCGCAGTGGAAATTGCTTTTACGCATGTAATAAGGATACATTTATAAAATGCATACAGTATATGAAATTATGTTCTTATGTAATGTGTATGTGTGCTAAATTTGTGACGTCATATTGCCTTGAATTTTTTAAGCATACTCATTATTTTAGAACGTATAAATAAATAATATACAAATTGGTTAATGTTAAAAGGAACACATTTTCACATAATGTTATGTCTAGGCTCAAATTTGGATCGTGTAGTGTTTCCTCCAACAAAGATTAGGTTTTCTGTTTTTCATGATAATTACTTCGTGCCAAAAGGTATATTTTTCTTTTAAAGATATATAGGCGGGACCTTCATATAATATTAGCTATATATCTACGTATACCGATAAACTTCAATTTTAATAGCATTTTTGAAGTTATACTTCTTTTGGCTCGTTAGGGGAAAATTATGAGAGTAAATTTTTACGATGCGCGCGCACACCGTCACAAAAAACCGACACCCCGAAGATAGCATAGTCAACATTTTCAAATAAAAATATCCATTTCTTTAATTATATGATATTTAAATACACTTTATTTTAACTAGCTAATGCGTTATAATAAAACTTTTAATGTATTGTATATCTTTTTTCTATTGTTAGTGTCGTTTTTTCTACAAACGTAGAATAATCTTAATTTAAATTTGAATTTTACTAACATAGTTATAAGTATTACTCTACTAACAATATATGGATTAATAATGGTCTGTATCAAATGATTTTTATTAATTTATAAGGCGAAAGATAAAGTTTTTAAAAAGATGTTTATCATCTTACTCTAAAGAAGTATAACTTCTAACGCGTGTAAATGTACTCACACGTTTTTTTCATGTTTTTTTTAAAAGTAATGATGAAGTTTCCTTACCTCTTTGTCTGTCATAAGCATTGATACATTCACTAGTCTGGAACTGGCTGATTAAGGCGGTTTTTCCGACACCCTGAGCGCCCACCATGGCCACTCGGTGCAATGCAACCGGCCTTCGTTCTTGGGACTCGGGAGCGGATTGGGCGGGAGATGCTGGCGCGAGACTTCCGGATCTTGAACGACGGCGCCGGAAGGAGTCACCGCGATTCACGATTCCTGTAAAGATTATGAATATACTTTATATGCCGTCTTATTTATATTTAGTTTTAACTGTCACTATTAGCAGATCTTCTTTAGAAACAACTAAAATTTTATAAAATATCACTTTGTATAGTTATTTGGTTGTGAATATTTAAATGTTGTTACTAATTCCTTTTGTATGTTCTTTAATAAATATGTGCTACATTAGGGTGACTTTTAACAACAAATTATTGTTTACAATACATATTTTGCAGTTTTTAGATCAGCCTTGCGATTCTGTAACTCACTTTTCGAACTCGCACAGCGGTTTTTGCAGAGGCGGTTGCGCTCAAATCAGTCGTGTAGCAGTCATTTTACGATTTGGCATTCTAATAAACAATAAACTACAAGCTCCCTCCTTATCAGAATACGATTTGAATAAAATTGCATAATTTTACGTTTAAGCGCAAACATCGATTTCTTACCCACAAAACTGGTTTTCTTTCAAAGCAGTTTCGTTCAGACTAATAAAATCGTCTGGCTAACTTTCATACAATAAAGTGCATGAGTCAGAGCAGCTGCAATCATTTGACGTCAATGAATGTTTACTCACAAATTCGCCCCTTCGTTTGAGCTATATTTGTACCCATACATTGTGGGTTTATGAATAAACCTGGCTTTCCATAGGTGGTGGGCACTCAAGTGTTCTCCAAGAACTCGGTATCTTGGTACCTAGAGGAAATGTGCGATGGCGAAGGCCAAGAATGTTTGCAATACCAAGCTTCAGAACCAGCCTATTGCACAAATCCCCGTTAACAAAGACTTTGCGCTCACTGAATACTGTCTCCGACAGTATCGACATCTTTATGTGTTCGCAGAGTGAGTTCACAGTAGCGATATTGAGTATCTTAAATATATTATAATTTTTATTATATTTATTTTTCAATTCGACGTTATCGTATTGGTTTATTAAGAATATTCACAGACAAGTAAATAAGGTCTATTATTTATAAAAAGTATCAATTTAATTGCATTGTTTTTAATCATTCGTCACTTGGTGTTCACGACGTTGTATTTAAAAAAAACGGAGATTTATTTATTATGATTATGTCTTATTAATGTTGAGAGCAGGCAAATAGGTTTTGACGTGCGATTCTCATCCCTGATGTCGTAGGTTTATTCCTCGGCTGTGCATCAATTAAATTTCTTTCTATAAAAGCACTTAACACCTTCTCGTATAATGAACAAAAAGATTGTGATTAAATTACCATGCCTTGGTTAACGAAAGACGGCGTGTGTCAGGCACAGAAGGCTGATTGTTACAAACAGATACAGAAATCTGTGGCCCATACTTAATAGGCTGTAGCGCCACTGATTTTTGTTTTATGATGCTTTATTATTAACGGATATAAGAAGTAGCAACATATATTCAACATATTTTATTTGGAATAGGTATAGGAGTGGTTATTGAGTATAAGTGCTCAGCAGGGCTCCTATCTAATACAATTTGCTAATATGTTGAATTGAATTGTCGAGTCACCAAAGTGACTCTTCTAAGTGCTGATTGAATTATGTTTGATCGATTTAACTTTATCTATAGATCTATATCTATATCGTGTTGTGTGTTTCGTTAGAAATAAATGTCATGTATAGACAGAAACACACACAGAATCACACAAAATAATAACGATAATAATCAAAAAAGAAAAATAACAAAACGTTATGGAAAAAAGTAAAAAAAAGGACAGTCACTATTTTATTTATTTATTATATACATGATTTTAAATAGAAAGAAGTTGGTGTGGTGGAAACACAAACTGGACACAGTTTTTCTGTCCACCAGGTAAATAAAATTGATTATTTTCTTTCTGCCTCGTAATTAGCTGCCTCTGCTTATATATATTAATTATTGTGACTCTGTTAACCTTTTGATTGTATTTTAAATTTTTGTCTATACATACTTTTATTTTTTATTATTGTTATTTTTTCTTTAGACTTTACTTTATTTTAGTTATAGTAACGGGTTATTTTGAGTTTTTTTATGTTAATAATTTTTGCAATTCTTGTACTCTACCCTCTGTAGGTGTTTCTTTTTCATTATTCCACATTAGGGTTGCATGGAAGAAATCGCTTGTTAGCGATAAGGCCGCCCGTTGCCTTATAACTATTGTAACATGTTTTTTTGTATTTTTGTTATGTGTATGTTTGTGAATAAGGTAATTATTTTAATAAATACTTATTTCATATTTTTTTACTCTTAAACTACGAAGTTTAAAATATGTCATATCAAATGACTAAACTGTGGTTTTCTCCTGTTATTAAAATGTACAAAAGGAATTACCACAGAGAGATTGTAACAGCTTAAGCAAATAACCTGAAATATATACGCCCCAGGGATTTCAGCTTACACCGGCTTTGCTAAGTTTCATAAGTGCTGCGACGGTATTCTCATACTATTTTACGACCGTTTACTATTACCACAAACATTTTAAAATAAACATACTTTCATATCGTTTACTTTACTTTACTCAGTAATATACAATGCCGAACGTGACCTTAAGGTGCGCTTACACGGGCAACTAAAATTGCTCAACTTTAGTCAATACTCGTCAATTATGACGTCACGACTACATCAAGCAATTTACGGCAACGGCAACAAGCATCAATACTGCGCAATACAATATTGAGCGATATGGCGCAACTTCATCAACTAGGCAATACTGTCATACACGAGCATTTCAGTTTTCGCTCGCTATGGACGACATTGTTCTTGCTGCGGCGGCTTGTAGCGCTTTTTTTATCATTAATCAAAAACAAAAAAGAAAGAAAAGGAATAGGCGTATCTGGGTGCGATCGTTTTTGGCAAAGAGGACAAAATTTTCATTATGTAAAGATGATATATTATTCAAAAACTTTACTAGAATGTCACGAACAGACTTTGAATTACTTTTGAATAAAGTAATTAGAAATTATTATTATTTAGACCTCTCGCTCTCCCCGCGGAAGCAAGACGGCAAGCCGTATCTGCGACATTGAGCAATATGAAATATATGGAGCAATTAGAAGCAATATCGCCGAAATAATTTATTGCAATTTATTGAAATTGCTCCATTAATTGCTTCAGATCGGTCCATTCGTGTCGCCGAGCAATTATTGCCCTCGTGTAAGCGCACCTGTGCTGACGCGATGTGACAGCCTTTCTCTATAAACGAGGTATTTTTTCATCCGAGGTGGAAATAAATGCATTAGCGTACCCCCCAAAAGTTGCAGTTGTATGTGGGACTCACATCAGAGACTGGGTAAGCTCCTACAAAGCCGCGAAACAAAGGAATGTTTAATTACCTCTGGTAATTTTCATCCTCTGGTAACGTGTTGGTACATCCTAAACCTCGCAGTCTATTTTATTGGGTAGCATACTCAGTGTTTGACTTAAAAACCGTGCCCTCCATGTACGGTTTAAGCAGTCGCCCGGTACCGCACAGCTCTCCCAAAGGCAGAAAACAAATTTAAATTTAATGAAATAAAGTTGCGTTTCGACCGGGAATCGAACCCGATATCCCTCACCTAGCGCACATTTAATAAGACCGCTAGTAGTTAGGGAGCTGGCGAGCAAAATCTCTATATGATTAGCACACATGGCAGACGTTATTAATAGTGATAATAATACCCTAAGAAACATGAAGGACCTCGTCTGCCAACATGATGACGCTGCGTTGTCAATTTACAAATCATATACCTAAATGGTCACCAACTCCCTAGCTATAGGCTATGAGGCCCTTCTCTATAAAAATAATTTTCCAATTATGGAATAAATAAGTCTAAGAGGAGTAACAAAAATTACTAGTACAAACTAAAAGTTAATGTAGTCAATCAAACAAAATTTTACAGATTTATATTATTAGTGTACATTTTCATATTAATTGATATTCTAAGTACGTGAATGTAATTAGCAAGTAGGTGATGTTTCCGACATTGGACCAACAGTTATATGAGTCTCTAACAGTATATGTTAAATATACAAAAAACTAACAAATTAAAATAAACTTCTTAAGTTTTAATTCCACATAACACTAGTTAGGATATCATATAGGTACTGAGACTATAATAGATCACTGGACTGCCAGACCTTCGTCATTTTATAAAAGCTGAAAGTTCTTCTGTGCGTGTCCCCTATACAGGTAAGAACGACCAGAGACTATAGAGTTTGGGTAGTGGTTACTTTGGCAGATAACAGGTAGTAAAGACTAAGCGCTCGCGCTCGGACCTACAGCGGACTTTCAATGTGTCTGGCAGGGTGTAAAAACCATTGAAACTGTCCGGCTATTGAGGTATCATATTTTCATAGGTCCCCAAGTAACATATATAAAATTTAGCTTTTATACTCTAACGAAAGTATAATTATAATTAATTAATGTTTAGGGGTGTCTGGCAGGGGGAAGCAACTGTCATAAGTGTCCGGCAATGTATGACGATATTTATAAAGTTATCCCTAATAAAATATAAAAAAATTGAGCTTTATACTTTAAGGGATTTAAGGTACTATTTTATACACCTTTACTACCTGTTATCTGCCAAAGTAACCACTACCCAAACTCTATAGTCTCTGGTCGTTCTTACCTGTATAGGGCCCTGGGCTCTTAGGATATAAGGCACTCTTTGTCGCGCACCACTGCTTTTCGAGATTTACCGACCTAATCACTTCTACACAATTTCCTCTAATCAAGCGTTTATTAAGGAAGTTTTTGCAGCGCCCAACCAAAACCAGCCGCCTACTGAAGTATTTCCGAACCAATTCGATTTAAGGTCTTTCATCAAAAGAGCATAATTACCAATTCTTAAAAGACCGGCAACGCACTTGCAAGCCTTCTGGCAATGTGAGTGTCCATGTGCCTGAAGGCTCGCCAGCCTCACTGAACTTCAGGTGAACCTCCCGCCCATTTGAAACCTGCCACCACCAGAACCAGCTGCCCACTAAAATACAAGTAAAAAACCAATACGACTCAGGGTCCTCTAATCAAAGAGCGTACCAATTCTTAAAAGGCAGGCAACGCAAGATTTGTATAAGTGTGTGTTTATAGCTAGCTGCGCCCTCTGCCCAAATGTTGTGTAAAAAATTTGTTTACACTCAATTTATTTGTCGTCATTGTGTAAGCAGACTGGAATATTTTGTATAATTTCTGAACCACTGAAGCATATTTACTAATAAATACTTTCTAAAAGTTATGTAATTAAAGTCAGCTTTCGAATAAAATAATAATTTATTGATAATTTCTTTACAGGTAAAGCCAAATGAACCACACTCAACACTTGTATTGTATTAATCTCCCACACCACAATAAAGTCATAACGATAAGAGAAAGTAAATGTATTTAAGACTATTATGAAATACTCATCCATAATATTCGAATACGAAATTATTTGCGAAATTCCGCGTCGCAATTGAACGAAGTAAATAAAATTTCATTTCATCCAGTTACAGCTCAATCGTTCAATCACTCATTCGTTCACTTATAAATGCACGCGCCACATGAACTGTCACTTTTAGTGGAATTATGGGAAGGATTTTATATTCCTTGACAGTTCAATATTTGTCTTCCGTTCAAAGGATTGAAGATATCTTAAATCCATGATGGCACGAGAATATGTTGATCAGTATTTATTGTCAGAAATAAGTATTGGGCGATAAATCAATCAAAAATATAATCATAAACTAAAAAAGTTATTTTCATACGTAGATAGACATGTAAAAGTGGTTGAAGAAAAGACGGTTCCGATAGAATGATTGTTATGCATAACCAAAATTAAATATTATAAGAATTTACACACGTACAAGAACAAGTCACTACTAGCGTTGACTATAATACGTATATAGTCTTATTTCAATAAGGTTCATAAATTATTTGGCTTTTAAATAATACCGATGTTTTCTCAGTAGTTTTCGATTTCTTACTAAATTGACGATTTTATAGTGAAATAAAATTAGTAGTTTTTAACGAAAATATTATTTAAATCTAATATCATTTATAAATTTATTTGGCTTTTAAAAAGTACCGATTTTTACTCAGTACTCCGATTGTAACGAAAAAATACGATATAGCTTATTCGTTCGTGTTTCAAAAAAAACTATTTAAATAAAATAGAAACTATAAATTTTTTTGCTTTTAAAAAGTATAGATTTTATCTCAGTACTCACTTTCCGATTCGTTAACTAAAAAAATACGATTTAATAGTGAAATAAGCTTACTAGTTCGTTTTTAAAGAAAATATTATTTAAATATAATAGATTTATAAAGTTGGCGCCGCGGGATAGTTTCAGCGGACGTCAACGATAAATCTCTGAACGTGCTTCAATACGAAAACACGTGAAATTGACGTCTTCGTCATAAACTTAGTTTTTTATTACATATATTTTGGCGCCATCATTCCTCAATATTGCTTTGAAAATACGTTTAAAATTATTTACGTTTTCACCGAAATAAATTTTATAATAATAAGTGGTTATTTCTTTTTGACACGAATTTTATACATTTGTGTTTGGTCGCACTTTTATCAAAAACTGTATAGCATGAGGCTATGGTGTTGCGACATTGCTTATATTTCGCATCAGGCGCGATTTTTATTATAATTATTGTAAGGTTCACTTTCATTTAGACTTCAGCAACTGTTCAGATTATTGTCAGCAGCAAACTTTATTAGGCAGTTTAACTTTACTTTTATGAAGATTTTAATTAAGAATAATAGTTAATTTAATAAGATCACACGCATGTCATTCCATTTTTCTAGAACACTTTCTTTTCATTTTTTGCGGAGACAATGTTACTAGTGATGCTGCAGTATTCAACGGTGATATAATGTTTTAAATCGGAGCTGTATTCGTTCAAACATACAAATCAAACATGATACAGCAATCATTGTCTCTCTCTTTGTGTTTATCTGTTTATTTAAATATGTTAATGTAGTATGTATAAAAGTAGTTAAACGGTGTGAAACGAGTTGTAAATGGTATACCAAACACGAATACATCAATAGTTTGTATAACTCGTCATTTGAAAGTAGGCTTATGTTTTTGAATGAGGTCATATTTGGTTCCGTTTCCACAACGTAACCTTCGACTGGATTCGATTCCTGCAAAAACAATCAATATGATTTAAATTTAATTTAAATTTGTTCTCGGCTTTTGGGAGGGTTGTGCGGTACCGGGCGAGTGCTTAAACCGTACATGGAGGACATGGTTGAATTTCTAAGGCAAGCACGAATTACGCTGGCTAATGCACAAACCGTGCCAGAGCCATAAAAACAAACCCACACATATATATTATTTACCATATTCTTAACTTAAATTAAAAATTGATAAATAGAAAAACATAACAATTTTAAAAAGTTTGGTCCCTGGGGCAGTGTACCTTTAGCGATGGCAGCATTTCCTCGCTGTATTGCGATAAAGCTATTAGTACGCAATACTGAAATTTCTCTTTATCCATCGTAACCAGAACCTATTTATAATGTTCATGAAGGTATGTTAACGATACCCATTGTTACAGTTTTGACAAGGGTACATTGTGTGTTTGACAGTATTCTTTATTCCATTCATTTGACGAATTTATAAAAAAAATATTTAATAGATTTAGTTTCTGTATAATACGTTAAATTAAAATCAACTAAAGTAAATCCATTTTAAAATTCAACATATATGGCAGTGCTCAAATATAGATTTTGACTAATACGAATACAGAGCTTACCAATTCTTAAAAGGCCGGCAACGCACTCGCGAGCCCTCTGGCATTGAGAGTGTCCATGGGCGGCGGTATCACTGGGTCGCTAGTATAATATTCTTCACATCAACACTGTACAAAACCTCAGTTTTGTATCGCGCAGTCCGGACATACAACGACCAATATTTAAGCCTTGACTTGTCTAAGCTATCGCGGAATATGGTTAAAATGAGTATTAAGAATATCCATAGCGCAAAATCGGCATCATGAGCATACCCCACATACCATCATCACAACACAGCCAAAATAGGTATTACTAAGTTCAAACTCAAACTGAAAATAACTTTATTCATATTACAAGAAACCAAGTACACTTATGAACGTCAATAGAAAATATGTTAAATTGATTCTAAATTTAAATTTACTACCTGTTCGCAATTCAAGGGCGTAAAGCGGACAAGAAGAACTGGCAAGAAACTCTCCGCCACTCTTTTGAATCGCCAAGTTACGAGTCATAAAATTGTTTGTTAAATGTATTGAATAATTTTTATTGTTTATTTCCTTTTGTAAATGTTTGAAACTTTTTGTAAATATTATGTATTTCATCTTTGGCTTTATATTAGTGTAATTGTTTGTTTTTATATAT